ACTCAGTATGGCTAACTCAGCTTTCCTTTGTGGCATGAGTGGTGCTAGACCACCGATGAATACGGCTATACCGCCAAAATTTGAAAACCCGCATAAGGCGTAGGTGGCAATCACTTCAGAACGAACCTAGTAGACCAACGGAAGAAAGATGCAGACAACGAATAACTAAAAATCGAACTCTTGACGTGAACAAATTGCAAGTCATGGTGAAATAATTAAAAATCGAACTCTTGACGTGAAAAAATTGTAAGTGAAGTAATTAAAAAAATAACTCTTGAGGTGAAAACTGAAAGTAAAGCTACCATTACCGACATTGATGGACTTATTCCAGCATGTCTGTTTTTAATATAATCAGCTAATTGACCGTATGCAACGAACTCGTTGAGGAACGTCTTGATGCCAATTAGTTCGGCTACAAGATGACAATCTTCCGGGTCAACGCCCATCAACCACGCAACAGGATATAAGACATATGAACATATGAACTGTGAAGTATAAATAAGAATATCCGTGTGAAATTAAGACTGAAAATCGTTTTTTTAACGTAGCGAGAAAGTTGGTAAGATAATTAGATATTGTGGATAATAATTGTTATTTAAAGATCTCAGGCCATTTTTTTGAATGTGTGCGACTATGACAATATTCTCAAGGTCTTATTATTGTACAGTCTCCACAATGTGGAACTAGACTGGCTGCTGAATCATATTGTTTTTCATACCTGAAAGCTGAGTTCTGGGTGATCCACCATGCTGCCAAGCCATGATAACACAGCGTTGATGAACGCTAATGTTGAAATAATTGCTATCAGCTGAGTGGTAACGTTAGCACATATATTTAAGCCGTCTATTGCTCCGTTTGTTGCTGCTTCTAGTATGTTCTTTTCTTTCCTGTACAAATAATCACACCATTTGTTATCGTTATTATCACACACTTCATTGATATATACTGTATTGTAATTTTAAATATAGATCATTTGAAAATATTCACACAATTATTTCGGATGCCGAATGGCACATTTTTAATTCAGAATTATTCACAATATTCACATGCTAAAAATTGTCAACAATATATATAAACATATTTGCAAAATTATTTGATGGTATCAAATTGTACCTTTCACTTCTGGATTATTCAACATATACACTTATCATTTTGTTTTGACGAATGCACATTCATTGTATGTATGTATGTATGTATGATTGATCAAACTACTGTAGTCGTCACGCCACGCATGTGCGAGATATATGAGACTCATATAAACAAAGATGGCAACTTTGACTGCGCAGATCAACGACTACAAACCGAGACGTTACTGAGCTATAATTACGTATGTTTTAGGTGATTGGAAGGTGTCGAAAGGGTCACCGGCGGTATTAGTGCAAGTCGCGCCCAGGTCAAACCTCATACTTGTGATTTCCATTAGAAAAGCGCATTGGATTGTGGGAAAATCAATGTTTATCGAAACAAATGTCGCACATGCGCAGTGCAACGACCACCGTCCTTTTAATTACTACAGTCACTTACAATATCCTATATCTTATCATTACCATGATTGTTATTATTACGTTAAAAATCACTACTACTAGTACAAACTACTTTAAGTGTGAAAACAGCAAAGTTATTGTCGAACATATAAAAGTATATGAATACAACGACTGATAACATATAGTGATACGAGTAGCTAACAAGCGTACAAAAAGTCAATCGACAAAACAATAAATCGATAAACAGACGCGCAAATAAACAATATACAAAAATAACAAATGAACAGGTAAACAAATATTTACGTCGATCGTTGTGATAATATTACCTTTTAGGTGTAGAAATATTGATTACATTCAGCGTGGTTGGTCTGCCTAATTCAGGATAGAATATTTTAGAGACAGCCAATGCTGCGGGCGCCGATATAACTGATGCTGATAGTAGGTGTGAAGCGCTGATACCGAATGCAATGTATGCACCAAGAACACTGCCAGCTATGGTTGCGTAACCACTTGTTAATACGGCGTGTATCTCGGATGACGTCATCTCATCGAGATAAGGTTTTATTATCAGTGGAGCAGTCGTCTGAAAATTAAACAGATTGCTTTTTATAAAGCCATTGCTACGGAGTACAATCACACTATATTAGTATTTTTTCTAATCGATATTACATTAAAAGAATGAAATAAAATGAATATAATCGCATGGCTCATGTGTGGTGGTTAAAATATATCAAATACAAACTTGGTGAACGTTACTGTAGTCTTATATTCGTCAAATGTACACAACTGACTTACTAAGTGTATTTATTAAAGCGGAGGAATCGACACCTGCGCATGCGTCAGATGGCCATAGCGTGGCTTTGTTTACAAAAAAGATTCCACCCATGAGCCTTTGCGTTTTTAGCGTGTGTTGTTATCGTCGCTTGGGACTCAATTCCCGCGTGTACACAGGTGACGACCCTCACGCTTTAATTCAAATCTTACATTACGTGATATGTGTCATGAATTTGTTTTCGCGTATCTGTTAACCGACTTAATTAGCTGATTATTAGCTGAATTGCTGTGTTATGTCTGTCATCGTTCAGGCCTATTTGAAGTTTTGGACGGAACTTGGCTCAGTGATTTGGAACTAATTACCAGATAACCGTCGCGATTCTGACAGTTTATATTCATAGTTATTAATGTAGTGAACGATTAATCAAAAGATATGACGTATTCAGTGCTTAGTGTGATTGGCTTTATGATTGAAGGTTACGCCCTAGAGTCTTTTTACTGTTTTGTAATTGGTTAGAGCTTTGAAAATGAATAAAGAGAGTTTGAGTTGGTCTTGGGGAGCACAGCACGATAGACGCAGTAGAGAGAGAGGCAGTCGAGAGTCCAGTCCAGAGGCGAGCCTTGAGGCAGTCCAGTCTTGGGCGAGTCTTGGTTCAGCCTTGTGAGAGTCTTGGGGACTTTTCCCCAGGGCGCTGTGTCTTATAGAGTACTCCAAATGATCGACTAAGACGAGAGCTGAAACGTATTTCGTTGTGTGCGTCTTATTTGACTGTAAAGTATAAGTGACTTTCCCGATCCCGTACCTCAAGGGGACGAGATAGAGAGACGAGACGAGTTTCCCCCCTGACAAGTGTGGAGAACCCCGGGAGTAGAGAGAATTTTACCCCTGATATGTGGTGGATATCCCTTGGGCATTGTGTTCAACACAAAAATCATCCTGTGAAGAAAAGTGAAATGATGAAGAGGTGTCTTTCTTGTGAACCGAACTAACAGCTCCATGGCAGAGACGACTCAGAAACCGCGCTTGACGACTAACACCGTTAACAGTATGGCACCGATGAACGACGCTGAAGAGATGAAGATTTCAGAACCCCTTCGGAAGGACGAATATCGTATAGGACAGTATAATTAAGAATTGAGCGACATTAAAGACAAGAAGATGAAGAAAAAGAACGACCCGGAATAACGCGACAAGAGAAGAGACGCTTATAGACTTTGACTTTAGCTATCTGTGTATTGCTTAGAGAACCGCTCGTTGGACACTGTAACTGACACTGTGTAACTCAAGGACGTTGAACTCTTTTCCAGAACCCTAACACTATTGCTCAGTAATGTAATGTATTGCTGCTTTTCCTATCGTTTTTCTTACCGTTTCTTTTAGTGATGTTGGATTGTATGTATGTAAGCGCCCAGATTTTTGTTTTGAAATGATATTTAGTGACGTGCGAGGTCCTTTATAACGATTTAAGCGCGCCTCAGTGGACAAGTATTTGCAACACAGTGTTTTGAGTTTTGTGATGTTTTATGGTGTTTTAATGAGTTTATGAGTACGGAATATGATGGGGAAAGTAATGCCCCAATGAGTTTTTCAGAGTTTTGAGATTTGTCGAGTACAGAGATATCGACGTTTTAAGAGTTGTTTTTGTTTACGTGTTGTTCCGGAATACTTCTGACGCTTTTTAAGTGGAGAGCACCTTTGTAACGTTTTTTATGTCTTTTTGAGGTGAGAGTTTGGTGCGCTTATATACGTATTGTTTGATATCGCAAGCTTTTGTTCATGATTGACAGGATTATATGTAACTCAGTAGTTTCTATCGTTTTGCCTTTTCCCCCGTCTTTTTGCCAGAGGAGTAATGTGTTATGATAGCTTTGTCTTTGCATTCTGTTTCCACGCCGTATGACTTTTGTTTAGATTAACGACTTTTGAGTTCAGTTGAAGTTTATAAGCGTATATGACAGGAGTTTGATTAATAGCTTTTTATTCATCGTTTATTAGTTACCGCTTTGCAATGCTTTAACCAGAGACGCATCCCTGGTAATCACGTGATCATGCTGTCGACTGCAGCGATTGGCTGATCGCTTGGTTACACCGCCACGCCTTAGTTTTTTTTGACCTTTTGATATAGAGTTTGTAACCTTAGTAACGGAGAAAGTGAAGCGACGGGTTATCTCAGCGAACCATGTGAGAAAAGTGAGTCGATTGGTAGCCTTTCCCTTGTTTTTGATTTATAACCATTGATATTTGAGACTTTATAACCATTGTATTTAGACTTTATAATCATTGTACTTAATTAGTGTGTTTTACTCTTTTTGATTTATACCTTTTATTATTAGTATTGTATTTAACCTGTATGACGATGAGTAGAGGACGGTATCTTTGATTTATGAACGTGTTGTGCGGAGAGGCACAATCTCAGTTTGGGTGAAGGGATGTGTCATGAATTTGTTTTCGCGTATCTGTTAACCGACTTAATTAGCTGATTATTAGCTGAATTGCTGTGTTATGTCTGTCATCGTTCAGGCCTATTTGAAGTTTTGGACGGAACTTGGCTCAGTGATTTGGAACTAATTACCAGATAACCGTCGCGATTCTGACAGTTTATATTCATAGTTATTAATGTAGTGAACGATTAATCAAAAGATATGACGTATTCAGTGCTTAGTGTGATTGGCTTTATGATTGAAGGTTACGCCCTAGAGTCTTTTTACTGTTTTGTAATTGGTTAGAGTTTTGAAAATGAATAAAGAGAGTTTGAGTTGGTCTTGGGGAGCACAGCACGATAGACGCAGTAGAGAGTCCAGTCCAGGGGCGAGCCTTGAGGCAGTCCAGTCTTGGGCGAGTCTTGGTTCAGCCTTGTGAGAGTCTTGGGGACTTTTCCCCAGGGCGCTGTGTCTTATAGAGTGCTCCAAAAGATCGACTAAGACGAGAGCTGAAACGTATTTCGTTGTGTGCGTCTTATTTGACTGTAAAGTATAAGTGACTTTCCCGATCCCGTACCTCAAGGGGACGAGATAGAGAGACGAGACGAGTTTCCCCCCTGACACGTGTGGAGACCCCGAGAGAAAGAATACTTTCCCCCTGATACGACTACACATTTTCTTATATTTTTATAGAGGTCATTCTCAATCGATAAAACAATGTGAAGCAATATCATCATTTGTGTCATGAATTTGTTTTTGCGTATCTGTTAACCGACTTAATTAACTGATTATTAGCGAATTACTGTGTTATGTCTGTCATCGTGTAGGCCTATTTGAAGTTTTGGACGGAACTTGGCGCAGTGATTTGGAACTAATTACAAGATACCGTCGCTATTCTGACATCCGTAGTTATTAATGTAGTGAACGATTAATCAAAAGATATGACGTATTCAGTACTTAGTGTGATTGGCTTAATGATTGAAGTTTACGCCCTAGAGTCTTTTTACTGCTTTGTAATTGGTTAGAGTTTTGAAAATGAATAAAGAGAGTTTGAGTTGGTCTTGGCGAATACTCCACGACAGACGCAATAGAGAGAGTGCAGTCCTGGAGAGACGAATCCAGTCCTGGAGAGTCTTGGGGACTTTTCCCCAGGGCGCTGTGTCTTATAGAGTGCTCCAAAAGATCGACTAAGACGAGAGCTGAAACGTATTTCGTTGTGTGTGTCTTATTTGACTGTAAAGTTAAAGTGACTTTCCCGATCCCGTACCTCAAGGGGACGAGATATAGAGACGAGACGAGATTCCCCCCTGACAAGTGTGGAGAACCCCAGAAAGAGAGATTTACCCCTGATACGTGGTGTGAGAACCCTGGGCATTGTGTTTTACACACATTGACATCCTGTGAAGAGAAGTGAAATGGCGAAGATGTGTCTTTCTTGTGAACCGAACTAACTGGCTCGATGGCAGAGACGAAACCGCGCTTGACGACTAACATCGTTAACAGTACGACACCGATGTACAACGCTGAAGAGATGAAGATTTCAGAACCCCTTCGGAAGGACCAGTACCGGATAGGACTGTATAATTAAGAATTGAGCGACATTAAAGACAAGATGATGATAAAGAACTACCCAGAATAACGCGACAAGAGAAGAGACGCTTATAGACTTTGACTTTAGCTATCTGTGTATTGCTTAGAGAACTGCTCGCTGGACACTGTAACTGACACTGTGTAACTCAGGACGTTGAACTCTTTTCCACAATCCTAACCCTATTGCTCAGTAATGTAATGTATTGCCTGCTTTTTATTATCGTTTTTAACGTTTTTTTTGTGATGTCGAATTGTATGTATGTAAGCGCCCAGATCTTTGTTTTGAACTGATATTTAGTGACGTGCGAGGTCCTTTATAACGATTTAAGCGCGCTTCAGTGGGCAAGTATTTGCAACACAGTGTTTTGAGTTTTGTGATGTTTTATGGTGTTTTAATGAGTTTATGAGTACGTATTATGATGGG